GAATTCCTCAGCCAGCAAAGCTTTTGGACTTCAACTCCCAGAATTCCGGGAGTTGAAGTCCAAAAGTCTTAAAGTTGCCAAGGTTGGAGACCCCTGACCTAGAAGGAGACCCCCATGAACTTTTTAATTTCTCTGCCTCGAAAGTTATTGCTGGGGGCCGGGGGGGGGGGGGGGGAGAACCCCCGGGGATTAAACCTCACACTAAAAGGACGGGCGGGCTTCTTTTACCGCTGTGAGTTTTCCCACGAGGCCCGACTCCTATCCAGGCAGCCCTTCCAAGTCCCGTCAAACCTCAAGATCTTCGGACTAAAAAGCTTTTTCTACCGATTGCGCTTCGGCCAACACCCACACCCACACACCCCACTTTTTTTTTTTTTTTTTTGCTCCAGGTTTCCTGGAACAGACCGCACAGTGGCTTTAACGCGGCTGGCAGGAAAAAGAGTTGCTCGGTGAGGAACTTTGTAAAACTTCTTTGCCTCTCCCGTGTATCGGCTTAAAAGGCGCGGCCGCATAACGGAGCGCAGCATTAACAACGCGGGCACCCCCAACCCCAACCCGGCCAGGCAGCCGCTCCCTCCGGCGCCAGGACCGGAACTGGCTTTCCGAGGACCGCGAGGGGAGCCCCCCCCGCCCCAATCTCCGGAAGACCCAAAGCGAAGCCCCCTTCCCCACCTGAGCGTCCGGTGCCCGAGGGCTCCTTTTCTCTCCTCGCGTTTTGCTCCGTTGATCCTAAAACAGGGGCCTGAAATCTTAAACACCCAAAGAGACATCCGACCCCTTCGCCACAAGAAAAGCAAATGCCAGGATTCCCCGCCGGGAACCACAAGGCCACTCCCACCCAGTCACGTGGCACCCCCAGCCACGCCTAGCCAGGTTTTGTGGTACCCTGTGTTTTTTGTGGGAAATGGGTCTCCCTCCCTCACATTTCTGTTTTTCTCTCTTTTTTTCCTTGCTCCCTCGCTCTTTTTCTTTTTTTTTCATTTCTTTCTCTCTTTCTCTGTTTCCTTCTCTCTCTCATTTGTTTCCTTCTCTTTTTCCTTCTCCCTCATCCTCCTTCCATCATTTTCTCATTCCTCTCTCTCTCCCTCCCTCACATTTCTGTTTTCCTCTCTTTTTTTTCTAGCTCCCTTGCTCTTTTTCTTTTTTTCATTTCTTTCTTTCTCTCTCTTTCTTTCCTTCTCTCTCTCATTTGTTTCCTTCTCTTTTTCCTTCTCTCTCATCCTCCCTCCATCATTTTCTCATTCCTCTCTCTCTCTCTTTCTCTCCTCCCCCCCCCTCTTCTCTTTCTCTTCATCTCCTTGTGGCCCTTCATTGCTCCTTTTCTTTCTTCTTGGCAACTTTTCGGAAATCTGGGCTGGCTGAGGAGTGAACGCAAGCGGTGGCATCAGCTTCCCTGAAAACAACACTCCTCCTCCTCCTCCTCCTCACACACTGCCTGGCTGGCTGTTGTGAGGCCGGGACGGCGCACACGAGCAAGGATACCCTCCTCAAGCGAGTGGTGCGGTGCCACCTGCGATGTTGATTGAAAAGCGTCCTCTGGGCAGCATTAAATCTCGCACTAGGATGCTTTTCGATCAAAGCCGCCGCCAGCACTGCTCACCTGCAGGTATAAAGAAGCCCCACCAAACCTTGAATGCCCAACCCAGGGATCAGGCTCAAAGAAAGCCAGAGCACCCTCACCAAAGATGTACACCTGTTAGCCAGTCAACCCATCTGCTCTGCGTGCCTTCGCTGAGCTTTGGTCGAGCATGGCTGCTCGGTTGAGGATAGAATAGGGACCTTGGAGGTCTTCTAGTCCAACTCCCTGCCTAGGGAGGAAACCCTACACCACTTCAGACAACATCTTTTTTAAAACTTCCAGTGTTGGACCATTCACAACTTCTGGAGGCAAGTTGTTCCACTGACCCATTGTTCTGACTGTCAGGAAATTTCTCCTTAGTTCTAGGTTGCTTCTTTCCTTGATGACTTGCCACCCATTGCTTCTTGCCCTGCCCTCAGGTGCTTTGGAGAATAGCTTGACTCCCTTTTCTTTGTGGCAGCCCCTGAGATATTGGAACACTGCTGTCATGTCTCCCCTAGTCCTTCTTTTCATCAGACTAGACATACCCAATTCCAGCAACTATTATTTATATGTTTTAGCCTCCAGTCCCCTAATCATCTTTGTTGCTGTTCTCTGCACTCTTTCTAGAGTCTCAGAATTTTACATTCCAGCAGCCCACCACTGGCCTTACCAATATGGCTTTATGCTCTAATAGTGGGTTGGAGGGAATCAAATACTTCCCGTGGACTAACAGGCCTGGTGAATGGCAGCTGGCTCTCCAGTATCGACTGAAGGTGGAGACTATATTGGTCAGAATGTCTTCAGAAGAATAGCACACGGTGTGGTGGCAGCCACTTGAACTGTGTGTGTGCACAGTGGTGTAGAAAGCAAAGGGAAGACTACTACACTATACAGTAGTGGCCAAAATTGTGGAAACCTTTTGGGCAAAGTGTCTCGTTACGTATTTTATGCCATCACTACCAAACAGGGAGATCTTGGTCTCATCACTCCAAATAACACTGTCCCATTGTTCCTCTGTCCAGGTAACACGGGCTTTAGCCCAGTTTAGTCTTTTCAACCTTTGTTTGAGAGATAAATGTTCTGGACTTCCAGGAGGCTCGTTTTTCACCCTCCAAGAGCCTCCACGCAGACCCTGCACTTACCTGCATCCAAAATGGGCTGCGTGGAGACTCCTGGGAGGGGTGGGGCAGGGAAGGTGAGGCCAGCCGGTCGGTTCAACTACCAGTTTGGCAAACCAGCTGTAAATGTAACATCCGGTTCATGAGAACCGGTCCAAACCGGTTGAATCCCACCCCCTGCATATAAGCTGGGTTGACAAGATCAGAAACGAGGAGATGATAAGCCGCTTGGGAAAGCCAAGGGAAATCATCAAAACAATTAAAAAACGAAAGTTAAAATATTTCGGACATGTGATGCGACACTCAGAAAATTACAGCATACTCTATTTAATCCTCCAGGGAAAGTTTGAGGGCAAATGAGGTCCAGGCAGAAGAAGATCATGGCTTCAAAATATAAGGGACTGGTTTGGACAAAACTCAGCAGGATTTTTTTTTTCATGCGGCTGTTGATAAAAATAGAATCGCCAACATGATCGCCAAAGTCCGATGATGGATATGGCGCAAAAAGAACTGGAAGGGGAAATTGCTTCCGTCACGAAAGCAAAAGTAAAAGCAGTGGCCCCCTTTGTGTTGATAGGATGAGGCATTATAGAGGGGAGGTTGTTTTGCTAATGATCCAGGATTTGGCAATCTCGGGGGTGGTGAGTATGGTTTAGGTCGGCATTGTACACAATACCTAGGCATTATGCAGAACGACAAGAACTATTTAGGCAAAGTATGAAAAGAGTCATGAAAAGGGTTAGGCTTTATTGAAAAGAATTGAACTGAATTGAATTGAACTCTTTATTGCCATTTTACGTATATACACAATATACATACAACAAAATTCACATAACACCCAGAGACCAGACTCAACATGCACACACGAGACAATCCTCAAACACCCCTACCCACCCACCAAGGTTCCCCAGCCCCTAAAAACACACAAGCATCCACACAACAGACCAAGTAATGCTGTCCAACAGCTCACTGATGGTGGTCCTTAAGTTCATTGTTAAGTGCAGTTATAGCTCTGGGATAAAAACTGTTCAGAAAACGTGTGGTCTGAATTTTAATTGTTCTGTATCTTCTGCCAGAAGGCAACAGTTCATAAAGATTGTAAGCAGGGAAGAGTCTCTGAGAATGTATATGAAAATGAAAGAAGAAATGTAAAATAAAGTACAGGACTTTCTTACTAAAAACAAATGAGAAAAAGACCAGTATTGACTGTTGCAACAGGGAAGGCTAGAATGGAAAAATGAGAAAATACCATCACAGGAGGAAATTATTAAGAAAATATTGGAATGTGCTGAAATGAGTAGATTGACATTTGAAATCAGAGAACAAGATGATAAACAATTTTATAAAATTTGGGATCTATTCTATCAATGGTTAGACAATAAAACATGGTAATAATGAAATATGTAGATTTTTAGAACATAATGAATATATAAAGATTTTTTATTATTATATCTACAAAATGATTGTAGGATAGATTTGAGATGATAATATGAACTGTCATAAAACAAATTAAGTAAAATATGGATTATCTTGTAAAACATGAATGAATAATAGTATAGCCAGATGATTGATTAACAGTGATATTAATGTATTTAGGAATATTTGATTGACAGTATGAGAATATATACAATGTAATTGTAATTGAAGACTACGAAATGGAAGCACAAAACAATTTGTAAACCAGCCGACACACTGTATGTATATATATGGAAGATGGCTTGATGTTTTTATGTTTTGTTTGTCTATGTTTGTCTTAAAAAAACAATAAAACTTTATAAAAAAAAAAACAAGGAAGGCTAGAATTGCATTTTAGCAGGAATATTTTATACTTTACCAATTTGCCTTTTGGCATTGCAGAGTGCCTAGGAGATTTGTGAAATGTTAAGCATTTCATACCTTTACATCCCATTTTTGGCATTTTATAGAGTTCCTAGGCATTCTGTAAAATACTTAATTTCACACATTGATGGTAACAGTCAGGGCCAAAACAGATTAGAACACCCTCCGAAAATAGTAAATATTTTTAATGGAAGATATACCAGCAGCACTGAAACTATTTTCAGCAAAAGGTTGCACACAATTACTTTTCTGAGCTCATCTGGGACCTTATTCCTCTTTAGCCCTCTCAAAAGGGTTTAATCTAAATTTCTAAGGGCTATGCCTCAGGTAGCCCCTCGCACCCCAATTGCTATACTAAGGAAGGAGGCAGGGATATCCAAGATCAAAACAGGTGCATGGATTTGCATTATAGCACACTGGCTGAAATTACTGTTCTTTCGCATGGGTCTAAGCTAGGGATATCAAACTCATGTCGTCACATCGTCGTCACATGACATATCGGGACTTTTTTCCTCTTCATGAACCTGGGGGGTGGCATGGCCAGCATGTGACACATCCAGCCCATGGACCATGAGTTTGACACCCCTGGTCTAAGCCCTTTCCTAATGGAGGATAATTATAAATCAACATGGGTTAAGACTATATCACAAAAACTTCAACATCTTGGCCTCTCCAAGGAGAAGTTCCTACTAATTGTTGTGACCAAGGCTTCCAAGACCCTAATTAAGCACACAGTTAAAACAATTCTTGTTTTATTTTAACGCTGGGAATTTCAGATACAGATAATCAGAGTTGGAAGGGACCTTGTAGGTCATCTAGTCCAACCCCCCACCCAAGCGGGAGACCCTGCACCATTTCTGACAAATGGCAGTCTAATCTCTTCTTGAAAGTCTCAAGTGATGGCGCTCCCACAACTTCCGAGGGCAACTTCTGTTCCATTGGTTGATTGTTCTCACTGTCAGAAAGTTTCTCCTTGTTTCCAGGTTAAATCTCTCCTTGTTCAGTTTCCATCCATTATTCCTTGTCTGGCCTACAGGCGCTTTAGAAAACAGCTTGTCTGTCCTGATACAATTTAATGAGCAATTGCCTTTAGTTCTAGCTGCAGACGCTTCACCTTTTGGCATAGGGGCTGTTTTAAGTCATAGACTGCCTAACGGTTCTGAGGCACCCATTGCCTTTTTCTCCAGAACCTTTTCCCCAGCCGAGCGCAATTACAGCCAAATTGACAAGGAGGCTTTGGCTGCAGTTGCTTCTGTCAAAAAATTCCATGAGTTTCTA